TGTAATTGTTATGTAGTTTATAAATATATATACATGTAATGATGTATTTTTCAAAACCAATCTGCTATACCTGTATATCTCAAACATGACAAATAATTTCAGGAAAAATGCATATTAACTGTTTACTGCTACCTTTTATTGTTATCAAAAATTTATTCACGACCTAAAATTGAAAACAGGAAATGAATATACAATACGATAAACTTTTATTTTCTGGATTCTTGACTTGATAGGGATGAAGCTGTATGTCTATCTTTTTCTGCGGGGCTATTATTCCGCGGTTGTCCCGATTTAGGCTATTTCACGGTTATCAAATCTCACTCAAATTTCATTCACTAAATGCTCACTGGGCATATAATTTCATGCTATCTTTATTGACCATGATTACAGCGAAATTAAATTCACTCGCGAATATTACAAACCATACAGTATTTAATGAATACTTTCACTTACTGATATGTGCAAAAAGTTACAGGAAGCCACACAGTGTAATAGAACAATCTCCCATGATCCTGTCAGCTTGTTTTTATATCGAAATAATCAACATGCAATGTAGTTCAAAACTTGGAGCTTATCCCTCAAGCTTACTTCCCACATGCATGTTATTGTCTGCAGTCTTGTACATTAATTGCTTTCCTTGGTTTAAACCACGTCTTTGAAAATCAGGATATTATGCTGGTTCCTGGTAGTCTTTATCACCACAGAATGTATAATATTGAATTCGAATATCTTCAAATTCTGATTTGGAGATAGATGGTGTACTCTGACCTTCCTTTGTAAATAAAACATAGTTGCACGTGAAACACAGTCTGATTACCAAAATGCAACAGCAACATGTTGATTAGGTCTTTTTAATCATTTTTTCACAATGAATAATTACAACAATGAATACATTCTGGATCCTGATATGGTTTCGTACAGCATATTTCAACTCAGTCAGGTTTTGAGACAAAAGTATAACAACATTTTAACATACAGGACATTTCAACTCAGTCTGGTTGTTGAAAACAAAGGTAGGGCGACATGGTTTCGTACAGTACCTATCAACTCAGTCAGGTTGTCGAGAGAAAGGTAGGATGACATTCTGTCGTAGAGTATATTTCAGCTAAGTCAGGATGTCGAGACAAAGGTAGGGCGACATTTTGTCGTACAACACAAATCAGCTAAGGCTGTTCAGACAAGAATTTGGTGACATTTTAGGAAATAGCTTTTATATAGTAATAAACAACAAAACAGAAATATGCAAGAAAAAATCTTTGCATATCAACAAACTCTTAAATCAATTGATCAAATTTCAAATAATATAAGAATTCTTCATTAGATATTTTGAATTTTCTTTGTTCTCTCTCTCTCTCTCTCTCTCTCTGATGATGATGATGATGATGCTTGTTTATCTTGTTTCAAATGTTCAGTATGATGGGTATTACCATATTCCGCATTAATGCAGCCACGGTCACATCAGATATCTCACTACTACATCAGGACACAATCTCGGGAACACCAGGTAGAAGTTTAGGGTTTAATCGTGACAAAAACAGTCTGTTTGGAAGTGTAGACCAACAACAGGAGACATTCCACCCACGCTTGTCGACTACCACTTCTTTCATTCTTCCTTTTTCATTACATAGCAACACCGTTATATGCTGTATGTTACCGTTACACACTCCCGGCCCTATTTATTCTTGTACACAATTTGTAAGTGGATAACCCAATAAAAAAAAGCAATCACAATAATGTAGCTTTATAGTGTAACAGCATGGTATAACAGGTATATTTCACTTCCGATTAGAAAGCCAACTCAAATTGTGACATTTAATGCATTTTGCAAACGCATTAATACATAGACATAATGATGATCAACATGAGAAACACAGCATGGTTTTAGTCATATGAAAATGGGGAAATCAAATACATGATTTATATAAACTTATAAGTATCACTGAATAAAAACATGAGTGGGGGTTGCTAAACACCGACACTAAACCAAAATGTGAAACTTCATTACCGCAGATTTCAAACGTATTTCATGGTAGTCCTATCTGAGAACTTTTCTTGCGGTTTCGTCCGTTTTGGATTCGCAGTGATACTTAGGGCCTGAATTTTGAAAAAAAAATTTAATTTGAAACATGAAATCTAGGCAGTCAGGAGTACTTATACATATACATCAGTGTGGTAGTGTAACGACTGGGACACCTGTTGTCAGTATAATGTGACAGGGTGGGGTGTCCTGCTGGAGGTCTTCTGAAGTATACATCAGTGTGGTAGTGTAACGACAGGGACACCTGATGTCAGTATAATGTGACAGGGTGGGGTGTCCTGCTCGAGGTCTTCTGAAGTATACATCAGTGTGGTAGTGTAACGATTGGAACACCTGTTGTCAGTATAATGTGACAGGGTGGGGTGTGCTGTTGGATGTCTTCTGAAGTATACATCAGTGCGGTAGTGTAACGACTGGGACACCTGTTGTCAGTATAATGTGACAGGGTGGGGTGTCCTGGCCTTCTGAAGTATACATCAGTGTGGTAGTGTAATGACTGGGTCACCTGATGTTAGTATAATGTGACAGGGTGTGGTGTAACAACTGTGACACCTGTTGTCAGTATAATGTGACAGGGTGGGGTGTGCTGCTGGAGGTCTTCTGAAGTATACATCAGTGTGGTAGTGCAATGACTGGGACACCTGATGTCAGTATAATGTGACAGGGTGTGGTGTAACAACTGTGACACCTGTTGTCAGTATAATATGACAGGGTGGGGTGTCCTGGCCTTCTGAAGTATACATCAGTGTGGTAGTGTAATGACTGGGACACCTGTTGTCAGTATAATGTGACAGGGTGGGGTGTCCTGGCCTTCTGAAGTATACATCAGTGTGGTAGTGTAATGACTGGGACACCTGCTGTCAGTATAATGTGACAGGGTGGGGTGTGCTGTTGGAGGTCTTCTGAAGTATACATCAGGGCAGTAGTGTAATGACTTGGACACCTGTTATCAGTGTAATGTGACAGGGTGGGGTATCCCGATGTAGGCCTTCTGAAGTATACATCAGTGTGGTAGTGTAACGACTGGGACACCTGTTCTCAGTATAATTTGACAGGGTGGGGTGTGCTGCTGGAGGTCTTCTGAAGTATACATCAGTGTGGTAGTGTAACGACAGGGACACCTGATGTCAGTATAATGTGACAGGGTGGTGTGTAACAACTGTGACACCTGTTGTCAGTATGATGTGACAGGGTGGGGTGTCCTGGCCTTCCGAAGTATACATCAGTGTGGTAGTGTAATGACTGGGACACCTGATGTCAGTATAATGTGACAGGGTGGGGTGTGCTGCTGGAGGTCTTCTGAAGTATACATCAGTGTGGTAGTGTAATGACTGGGACACCTGATGTCAGTATAATGTGACAGGGTGGGGCGTGCTGCTGGAGGTCTTCTGAAGTATACATCAGTGTGGTAGTGTAATGACCGGGACACCTGATGTCAGTATAATGTGACAGGGTGGGGTGTCCTGCTAGAGGCCTTCTGAAGTATACATCAGTGTGGTAGAGTAACGACTGGGACACCTGTTGTCAGTGTAATGTGACAGGGTGGGGTGTCCTGCTAGAGGCCTTCTGAAGTATACATCAGTGTGGTAGAGTAACGACTGGGACACCTGTTGTCAGTGTAATGTTACCGGTTGGGGTATCTTGTGGAGGGCTTTCAGCAGTATGCTTCACTGTGATAGCACGATATTATCGTCTTAAATTCAGCATAATCATTACTCCGTTACTCCAAGTTACACAGGCACCGACAAAGAAAGCAAGTATATCCGTCTTTAATGTCGGTTTCATTAGAAATTGTAAATTAATAACACGGTATCATTACATTGTTTTAATATATACAAGGAGATTGTTTTTAATGAAAAAGATATATAATCATTGTGGTTGGAGTAAGACTATTTTTAGTGGATACTTTTATGTTTTCGGCTGCCTCCGATTCCTGCAGTATGAACATCCGACATGATTCGGTTTTTATGATTACCTTGCGGTACAACTTTTATCTATCTTTTAATTCAGATTTTGAGAGATCATTTCAATTTTTGCACAATAACGAGAAATAAATTAGGATGAATATTTTTAATACAATTAAATAAATGAATGATCAATGAAAAGCTCGATATTGTAGAATTGAAATCAGTATGAAAAATACAGTCGAACTTCGTTAACTCGAACTCGGAAAACTCGAAGACCCCGTTTAACTCGAAGCACTTTGTCGGTCCCAGCAAAATCTTCTCTTTATTCTAGTAATCAAAACTCGGAAAACTCGAATTCGGAAAACTCGAAAAACTCTGTTAATTCGAAGTAAAAATTTGGTCCCAACAACAAAACATATACTGAATATGATCGGAAAACTCGAAGTATAAATTTTGTGCCGGTCAATTACATTGCTGATGCGCTACGCCATTTTGCAATTTTACTGACAATAGGCTTTACAAGTGAATATTAATGAACAATACTGTAATTAACAATATTCATGTTTTAGAAAAGTGTTTATTGTTATTTAATTGAATGATAAAAGGTAACCGTTAGATCTTATAATTGATAGATATCGGCGATAAAAAGTGAAGTTCTACTCACATTGCGTAATTTCCGTGTCTGTCAGCCATAACAAACACCGACCTGTGTATACACTCAGTGAAGCGGAACTAAGCTATAGAAAACAATCACAACACGGCCCGGTACTAGGCTTAATGTTTTTACAGGAGTGCGCATGAAACGGTCACCTGTGCTCAATTAAACCGACAAATGAGTGAAACAATTATTTAATTAGCGTCAAAGTACTTAGGGCAGAATTAGTGAGGAGATGTCATGAGTGTCACATAGCTATTGTAACTAACATGTTGTGTACATGCATACTCTTTAATATAATCTTCCTAGTGTACGCGCCAAATCAGTGATGTTGAGTAACATTTGTTGCACATGCGCAACGGAAGTTTATGTATGTTATCGAATCAGGAGAGTTCTCATAGTCGGTCATATGTAGTGCTGTTTAGAATGATATCGTAAGTTTTTCACATTGTATGTGTTTCTTAAAATGTTAGATTTGGTTCTATTTTGTTTGTATTATGTGTTTAATTAATGTCAAATTATTAAATTGTGAATGTTGATTTCCGTATCATCGTTATTTATGTAGCCTAGACTCGTGTTGACATGTAGGCTAATCTAGTTCTCGTTAATTAAAAAGGACTGACAGAACGAAATTGATGGTTTCTAAATAATAAGCAAACTGCACCTAATTTAATTATCAATTCTGGTTTTTCAACGATCAAGAACAAAATATGTTTGCTTATTACCGGAATCTACATCAAGCTCGTATATAGCCAAAAAGTGACAAAAAGTACAAGGAACGTCAGGAACATTAAAAATCTTTGCACCCAAACTCATGAACTCGGCTATCTCGAAGACTCGGATAACTCGAAGTATTTTCGTGGTCCCATCGACTTCGAGTTAACGAGGTTTGACTGTATATAATTCTTCATTGTTTAACATATTGCAACAAATCAACGATTCTAGGGTACTGGAGGACTGTTTTGCCGGCTGTGGCTGGATGAGTCCTCACCACCTTCTCTATCTCCCCCAGGGCTTCTTCTTTATCTCCTGGTGACATTCGGGCGAAGGCCGACAGTGTAGAATGGAAAGTTTTCAAGTCCTCTATTGTGTACTGCGAACATAATTTAATTATGGTGAATATCAAATTAAGATTAATTTTCAACTGATGAAACATTGCTGTACGATGTAAGGAAAATATTTTGTTGGTTGTTTTTACAGTGGTAAAGCTGTGTACATGATACGTTTCATTATCAAATAACAAACTGGTCTTCGTTTGTAGACAGAAAAGTGAGTTGCTTTAAATTTTATGGTTTTACAATAACCATATAAACATACACCAGTTTCATAGGTTGTTATATAATGTCTGTTTATAGATAAACTGTTTGGTTCGCAAGATTGTAATCCTAGTCATCTGTAGCATTTTCCTAGTACTTCCATAATGTTACTGTAGCATTACCCTAACACTTCTGTAGTGTTTGTGTCTAAGATGGAACAGCGAACATACAGATCTCTACATATTTTCATGTTTGGAAACCAGCATAGTCATCTACGTTTATTTATTCTGGCACTTCCAGTGCTCTCAGTCGGCTTTATTTGCTAACATTAAAGAGCATGGATAATGCACGCAAGCGTCACACTTTGCAAAATATTGTACAGAACTAACTTAAAATATTATTTCTATAAGATATAATTATATTTAATGAAGCTATTTAATGGTACCGTTCCGTTTTGTTTCTATATATTTCATTTACCTATTGCACATATGCCATATCACTTAATGTCAATAAATTATTTGGTTTTTGATCTCGTAATAGTTAATGTGTTCATACCTCCGCAGTAGGATAGTTCAGCTTCTTCCTGATTTTAAGTCTAAGCCCAGGAAAGGCATCTATTGCGTCTTTCCACCAAAACTTGAGATACTGTGGTTCATCACCGAAGAAGGTCAGTGCTTTTTTGGTGACTGCGTCAACCCAGTCAACACTTACGTCTTGTATGTTCCACACTAGAACTGTGAAGAAGGAAACATTGAGCTTGATTAGGTAATACACAGTGGTAGACCCTACATTACGCATTCAGATGTATTTGTTCTAACAATTGCATAAACCAGATCTCAGTTACATGTAGCAAAGACATGGCAGAAGCGTTTTTAAATGTCAGTGTTATCAACTTAATAGTAGTAGAGGTAAAAACGATTATTTATATTCTTCTGTCTCGAGCGGTCGTAATAATGAACGGGCTTATTAACAACAAAAAAAAGTACATTCATTATTGAAATTGATGCGATAAGGCCAATACACGAATAAAAGAAATTTTAACACAAAGAGTTTTGAAGTAGTAGAAGCATAACAAGGCAATGTGTTCCGGAAGAGTAAGTGTCTTCTACTTCATCGAGAAGATGTGTTAAGTAAATCTTGGTCAATACAATAACGAAATATCACATTCCCAAATGCGCGCAATCGAACGGAAGAATTTCATATTAGATAATGGTGTTGATAATCTAATTTTACCATATTCCTCATGAACCTCTCTAATCCCTTTGCGGGGTTGTTCAACTGAAAGCTGTCGACATCTTTTACGAAAATCATTATATACCTTTTATGGGTAACTTAACAAATCTTTAGCGAAAGCAATAGCTCCTGATTAATTGACATAGGTTTCCAGATATATCTACTAACATACTGAAATTGCCATTGGGCTTCAGGACCCTGGTTATTTCTCTCATTGAAGTCTCGTTAGCGAACCAATGAAAACACTGAGCTGCCACAACGCTCTGAAATATAAACCAATGAAAACAGTGAGCTGCCTAAACGCACTACAATATAAACAAATGAAAACACCGAGCTGACACAATGCTCTGAAATATAAACCAATGAAAACACTGAGCTGCCACTACGCTCTGAAATATAAACCAATGAAAACACTGAGCCACCACAATGCTCTGAAATATAAACCAATGAAAACACTGAGCTGCCACAACGCTCTGAAATATAAACCAATGAGAACACTGAGCCACCACAATGCTCTGAAATATAAACCAATGAGAACACTGAGCCACCACAATGCTCTGAAATATAAACCAATGAAAACACTGAGCCACCACAATGCTCTGAAATATAAACCAATGAAAACACTGAGCTGCCACAACGCTCTGAAATATAAACCAATGAGAACACTGAGCCGACACAATGCTCTGAAATATAAACCAATGAAAACACTGAGCTGCCACAACGCTCTGAAATATAAACCAATGAAAACACTGAGCCGACACAATGCTCTGAAATATAAACCAATGAAAACACTGAGCTGCCACAACGCTCTGAAATATCATTACATGAAAACACTGAGTTGCTACGTTGTTCGGAAACATTGACCTTTATTGAGTTATCAGGAAATGGTAGACTTCGTCTTTAATTAACTGGCCTGTATTAAGCTACCAGGAAATGGTAGACTTCGTCTTTAATTAACTGGCCTGTATTGAGCTACCAGGAAATGGTAGACTTCGTCTTTAATTAACTGGCCTGTATTGACCTACCAGGAAATGGTAGACCCCGTCTTTAATTAACTGGCTTGTATTGACCTACCAGGAAATGGTAGACTCCGTCTTTAATTAACTGGCCTGTATTGAGCTACCAGAAAATGGTAGACTTCGTCTTTAATTAACTGGCCTGTATTGAGCTACCAGAAAATGGTGGACTTCGTCTTTAATTAACTGGCCTGTATTGAGATATCAGGAAATGGTAGACTCCGTCTTTAATTAACTAGCCTGTTTGATTAATCTAGGAATAATAAAATATATATAGGTATTTAACTCACCTGAATCGAGTTATCAGGAAATGGCAAAGATGTGGCGGCGCACTGGGTCGAGGTCACATCCGGGCATTGCTCTCTCAGGGTTTTCAAAAATCCTTCCATCGGTTCAGTGGCTACAAATTTCAAGTCCTTTAACAAAAGAATTTATATATTAGTCGTGGTATAAGTTATAATACGAGGAATTTTAGATATGAATTTGATTGCTCCAATATATTTTGGTGCAAGATATCAACCGACAAATTCATTACACAGGTCACAAAAGATGCAGGTTGGTGATAATATATGGACGTTTCACTATCGTCAAAGCGATCTGAATGAGAAATTTCCTATTTATTTATTTGTTTGATATGAAACTAGGAATTTTGTCAGTTTGTATGTTGATTCAGTTGTTATACACCAAGTTCTCATTTAATGAAGTGCATCACTTACTTTGATTGACCATAATTAACATGGCGGGAGTCGTTGATAAAACCTGGTCTTATTCGCCTTGTATGTTTTTTCAAAATTCTCCGTATTAATCTTCCATTTATTCATGATTTGCCTTAGTTTTATTGAATCTTAATTTGGATTATGATTTTGTTGACATGTTGGTATTATTTTGTTTTAATACAAAATCATATCAGCATATATCTAAGGTTTGATCGGGATATGTTTTAGTATCGTGGTGGTATGAAAGAAAAACCTTTTTCAAACTGATGCTTTTTTCCTTTTATCACTGAAAAATGAAAAGGAAAATCGACAAATCAGATAGCTGCATTTTGCTTACAAACAACGAAAATTGAATCAAATATTTAAACAAACCTCAGATGTAGTGTTATAAATATCTATTCATCTATGTTCGAATTCAATTCTGTATCAGGGGTCTCCATCTCGTTTGTTTCGCTTAAAAGAAATATAATAGATACGTCCGAATTGTAACACTATATATTTATGCTATTCTTACAGATGGCAGTTGTTTGTGCAAGTGCGATGTAAGCTTCCCCGTTCCTGCTCCTAGTTCAAGAATATCACATCTTTCACCTAAAATTAAAAGTTTGACAAAGAAGTAAAAAACATTGAGTGATTTATTAAAAAGAATATGAAATATTTGTATATTTCAAAAATATCTTAAATGGCTATATTGTTTAGTTCTTTTCCTATTTCATATCAATGTATATATTTGTAAACATAAATATAGTTCCTACTTTTCTTCTGAGCCCGGTGTTTCCGCAAACTACAAACCAAAAGAAGAATTACGACTTACATGTATCAACTTACAGTACTTCGTTTCATAGCTACCAAATATCAAATATAACACCAAAACATCCGAATGGCATTGACAATATACATATATTTCAAACTGGGTTTATTATAACCATACAGGATCTGTCCACTGACGGATAACCAGAAAAAAATTCTACAATCAGTGACATTGGACGTGTTGAATGCACTATAGTTTGTCTGGCTGTTGTTTATTGTTGTCTACCCTTTACTCATTTGAGAACTTGACATTATGTTTCCGTGGCGGATGCCGGCGATGAAGCAGAACAGTCCTACCCTTCAGGAATGCCTGGTCTTATTCTGACGATTTTTCAAGATGCTAGTGTATTTTTTCTGTTGCTCTTATTTTGCCTTATTGAAATTTGTGACTGATTCCTTCTTTAGTTGGGAAGCGAATCACCAATCTTCTCCAAAGAACAGATGGAGTTTGACATGAAATTGATGGTGGATTATCATTGACATATTTACCTATACAACAAAAACTTTTAGTACCTGATTTCCATATCCTTCGACAATAGATGGATTTAGTATTGAAGCAAATTGAATGTCGTTTAAACTCACCTGAATTAGCCTCATAATCAACAGTGAGCATGCGCACAATTTCTGACGTTGTTTCCGGTGTGTAGTCAGGTCTAAATTTGTCGTAATGGGCCCCCTGTAGTCAGAATCGTATATAAAAAAACATCCATTTTCCAGCCGACATATTGAATCATTTTTTCCTCATTTGGGTTTATGTTTCAAAAGTTTTTGTTTCTTCACATGTTGCACTTCATACGCTTCAAAAAGAAAGTACAAGTTTTATTAAAATACAATGGATTGATGTACATATCTTAACAAACCGACAGCTAGTTAAAAAGAACACAGGTCAGCTTTCCTCGATCCTGATGTTGAATCCACTTAACATGATAGATATATTGTTGTGCCTGCAGGTAAGGCGTCCAATAGCTGGATTCTTGTCTGCAAACAAATTACATTTCTTGCATACAAAAAGAACTTACTAAATAACATAGGAAACCCCGCTTATACATCATGCAAACTTTCCAATGAAGAAGTACAAGCTAAAAAGTAATAAATTATTTAGATTGCCTATTATTGATAAGGAAATGAATCCTGCTTGTTTATATTGGAATTCTAAACTTCACAAGAATCCATATAAACAACGTTTTATTTCTGGCTCGTCTAGCGGTTCAACCAAACCTTTGTCAAAAGTACTTACTACCATTCATATAACTAGCAAATCTGGGTTAGTCTTATTGTAATACCGTTTACTCAACACTAATAGTATCTAGATGTCCTCGATGAAACATAAGACGCTTACTCCTCCAGAACACCTTGTCTTATTCTCCTAGCAAATCTTGTCCATATTTTGCCCTAGTTTTAAATTACCTTTTGAGTTTGAATTATGTTGACATGTTGGTATCATCTTTTTGGTGTTATTGCTATTAATGCGATCTTCATTAAATTTTATTGTAAAGTAACACTTACAGAGATGTGTTCATATGTAGACACTTTTGCAAATTTCATCTGATAGATGATCATTATGATCTGAAATATCGTAAGTACACAAAGAATAGGCATGTTTCTCTGCCAATAATCTTAATCCTCTTCCCTATATAACGATATGATCAACTCTGGCGTTTGATATTTAATGAAATCAGTTATGGTATGATCAACTCTTGGTATAGTGTTTGGTATTTAATGAAATAAATTCTGATATTATCAACTCTGGGTATAACGTTTGCATTTAGTGAAATTAATTCTGATACGATCAACTTTGGGTATTGCGCCTGGTGTTTAGTGAAATCAGTCATAAATTGAATCATGATCTGAATCATTCCACAATGACACCCTGAAGAGACGTTTGTGGTAATCACCAATGCTTCCACATCAACTGGAAACAATTTATCGTTCAACGTCTCAAACTGATAAATTAAATAAAAGAAAGTAAACAAAATCTCCTCAAAGGATAAAGTCACACAGCTTAGAATATTACTCTACACATTTTATAAAACTATTTGACTTCTGATGTATTAAAGTACTGACTAAAGACAACAGTTAACTGTGTGTTCAAATTAGTATCCAGGTACTTACATCAGTGTATCCTTCCTTCACGATTTGTCTTGTCATGTTACTCTTCTCCGCCATGTTTCTCGACTGATGAAATGTAAGACGTCTTATCAACTTGCTGTAAGGCTTGGAGATAAAGGACGCGCATTTCATCATATTAGGTACCTGATAACAATGAGCTTCTAATAAGTTTAGTCACCTTGATGATTGCTTTCTAAGTATACAACATAACTTAACACTGTATGTCAGCTGTTAAATGCATCTGATAGATATACAGAGAAATGCGCCACACATATACTTATTATAATGTAGTTCTGAAAGTTTAGTTAGCTTGAATGTTTCATTAAATGAACTATAACTCGAAGTAATGCTGACGATAGCTTTAACATATTATTGATTTTTAGTCCTACCGGTACATATGACACACATATGTTCTCATTGGGATGTTGACTCAAATATGTATGTGCTTCCCTGTGCTGCAAGTGGACTGGTTAGATTGATACATATAGCTATATCAACATGGCTTTTTCAGATGTGTGATAGAATAACACTGGTCCGAAAATCAAACAATGATCTGAACACCTAAAGTATAATATCAACGAAGAGTCACCTTAAAGCATGCTGTGTAGATGACGCGAATTTTGGTCAACAGTCCGGGAGTGGGGGCTGCCATATTATGTTCTCCAGGCTAACGTTGTAGGATGTTTACAATACAACAGGTGAATAAGACAGAGAGGTTCCAAATGAAAATAATCGCTAATCACACCATATACACGGTGTTCTATAGCTAGCTATATTCAGTATGTAATTGTATCAGACTTAATCAGTTTTCATTGCGATTTTTCAATTGTTCACGTTTGCAAAGAGATAAAATGACAACTCACCAATAAATCTATAAATGAATAACATAAATAATATCTTAATCATTTTGAAATATATATCACATATACATTTCTGTAGAGTCCGACATTGTTATCAGACAAAAGAGGTAATGGTTATCATAACGGATGTACACGACATTAATTAAACAAATTACAAGGCATACCCATAATTTTCATATTTCGGATAATTTTAGAACAGCGTCAAGTACATGTAAAGATACACAAGCGGTTAGTTAGATAGGCAGAACCAAATAATTATAATGCATCATGCAGCTGTTTTGTCCTTCTAGGACTCATCAGTGATGTTGTGGGCCTAAATTTTGAGGGCTACAAAGCGAAGATAATTTGAGAAAAGTGCCAAGTACTTGTTAAATAACACAAGTGAATTAAACACCTTTTAATACACATACAAGACAAAGTACAACCAAATAGTCAGTAAAACAGCACCATATGAGTGCTTCATCAGTGATGCCAAGGGCCTTAATGTTTAAACCTAGGAGACGACAGAGGAAAAACGAACGTGATTGAAAGAAATGTCAAAATCTAACTCGGATGAGCAATTCGTCAGTAAAATTAGCCTACCTTCAACTTGACAATTGTACACAATGAAAAATGCACCAAATCAAGTGTTCGCTTCATTCGGAATTTTCATTGTAGATCATTCTTTTTGACATACCGACATGTGTCAGCACAAACAACGACACATGGACGTGATGGAAAAATCTTTATTTAAAAGAGCAGCTGATATATATGAATATGATATGATATGATATGAAATGGGTTAGGATATGTAAGGGGTGTTAATTGAAGACATGAATAGGTAAAATGTTCTATCGGGTATTGTTTCTACAGATAAAGAACAGATTCTAACACTTCAGTAAATTGATTGTTAACAAAAAGTTAGGACGACATTGTTTAGCACAGCATATTTGAACTCAGGTTGTTGACACAATGGTAGGACATTTATCGTACAGCACATTTCAACTCAGGTTGTCGCGAGAAAGCTAGGGGACATGATTTCGTACAGCACATTTCAACTCAGTCAGGTTGTAGAAACAAGAGTTTGGCGACATTTTATGAAATAGCTTTTATACGCTAACTAACAAAAACAAATATAATTGACCAATGCTTCTTATCTTAAAGGTATATTTTTTAAATGATTAAATAAAAAATATATATAAAAAAAAATATTAGCTATATCAGAATTTCAATTCTTCCATTAATTTTGTATAAATGAACTGCTTCTTTTATCAAAGTTTCCACCATCAGAAAATATCCGTTTAGATTTTACAGAAGAAAAATCAACAAACTTATACATCAAGTGATCATAGTTGAAGCAGTATAAGAAATTCTACTAGGTATTTTGAATTCGCTCTGGAGGAAGATGGCGATTGTGAGTATATTTGTTTATCTTGTTTCAAATGTTCAGTATGATGGGTATTACCATATTCCGCTTAAATGCAGCCACGGTCACATCAGATATTTCACTACAACAGGAGACAATCTCGGGAACACCAGGTAGAAGTTTAGGGTTTAATCGTGACAAAAACAGTGTTTGGACGTTGATACCAACAACAGGAGACATACCACCCACGCTTTCCGGTTCCTTGTTGATTAATACTTTTTTTCATCATTCCTCTTTAATCACGTAACTACACCTTATTAGTTGCATGACAACCATTACATAATCCCGTCTTCAATTTTTCTTTTAATCACGCTAGAGGAAATGTGAAATTAATAACGATTCCAGACTTGTGCTATTAATTTCTTTATGAAATGAAAAGTAGTTAACGTCCCTCTCCGTAACTCACAGTTTCCTACTATGCTATCTGCTGATAACACTATGCTGACACATACAATACGGAGTAGAGAAGTAATTATCTTAATTGCATCGAAAGGACAGAAAATGTATGCGTCGACCGGGTATCATTTGTACGTGATTTGTAACTGTATAACTCAATTCAAAATTCGAAAAGCAATCAGAATGATGTAGCTATAACAGTATGTTGAATCAGATTATCAATAGGTATATTTCACTTCAGAAAACTCACATTGTATTTGAGTCAAAATAAGGCATGCATATTAATACACTAAACTTGTTTATTACAAGAAACAAAACCGTTTCTTTAAGGATCTATCGATATTTAAGTTAAATATTTTCAGCGAAATATTTTTAATTGAAATATTTACGGAAATCAGAAGGTAATTCTGTAGAACACTAAAGAAAAGAGGCAAAGTGATGCCAACCGAGAAAAAAAATGCATTTATACTTGAGCCGGTTCTTGAAATTTACGCAGTGAAATAGCGGGTGTAATTTATTATCTTCGACTCACATTTATGTGTTATGATGTTAAATTCGAGGATGAACTTTATTCATATGTAAGTGATTCCACCTGAATGATGTTGTGAATGACATGCAAAATGACACTATTTCTGTGGCTAAATATAATTTCATTTTATTTTTTTTATTTTTTTATTATACGGAATTGTTGCTATGTTCTCTGTCAATGCTTACCTATCCAGAACACCTGATCTTTTTCTCTTATTCCTTTTCAGGAGTGACCTTTTTTCATCTGTTTATGTTTTGCCACAGTTACAGTTTTGAATTTCAATTGATATTCTGCAGTCAGTCTTTTTTTCCTGTTGTTTTGTACTCCCGCTTCATTTTCACGTTGTTTTTTCGAACTATTTTAGCTTACACAATATGAGCCATGTGTTCAGATAGTATTAAATTTGCTTCAATCCAGGAATTCCTTTTACAGTTAGATAAGGTGTTTTCATATCCACATACATACGTGCATACGTAGGAAAAGTACCTACTGTCCCCAATGCATGATTGTAAAAAAATAACTTGGAATCTTTATATTTTTCTCTCTTTGTAAAGACCTTTCCTCTTCCTACTGTCTCTCCTAAAAGTGCAACACTTTTGACCTTTAGTTAAGTGTTAATGAAACTTTGTTCCGTGACTCAAGACCGGGACAAGCATACCGGGGTCATTAAAGATGGTCGTTACTATTACCTGGTTGACATTCAGCATTTTGGTCATGTAATGACTGGGTCCCCTGTTGTCAGTATGATGTTACCAGGTGGGGTGTTCTGCGAGAGACAGTTAAAAGAAATTATCGATTGATGAAGACATTGCTGCACGATGTAAGGAAAACTTTTGTTTGCTGTTTGTATTTACATTGATAAATTCTGTCCATGGGAGGTTTCAGTATTAAATATTGAACATATCTTCGTTTGTAGGGAGAACTTTTGTGATTTTACAATAGCCATGAACAAATACACACATATTAATTTCTTGGAGTGGTTATTTACTGTATATGTAATGTTTTTATGGCTGTGGTAAACTGTAGTTTAGATCGTCCGCAAATGGATTAGAGTGATGCAGTTGATGTGGATTATGGCAAATGGTGTTTTCATGACTACGATGTAGATATATAAGTCTTTTTGCAGATGTGTGATAGAATAACACAGGTTTGAAAATCAACCAATAACCCTGACACCTGAAGAAGAATCACCTTAAATGATACAGTGTAGACAACGTGCCGCGGTCCCATAACCACAAACGACAATTTAAAGTAAACAGTCTGAGTGTAGGGGGCTTCCATAGTTTGAATAACGTAGCAAAATTATATTTTAACATCAATAAGTATGGTTTTTAATCATCTTGACGTATAAAATCCTGCAGAAGTCGTTCTTGTAATGAGATAAATGGGATAATTGTTGTTTAAATACACTGAATATTCTTAGTTTGATATACAACTAAAACGCTTTTCATAACATTTTTTTTGTCAATAAGAGCCCGTTATTGACACGTCAGGGAGTATTTTGGCATGAATTAACGTTACTACAACTTTGATAGTGATCTATCTAAAGAATTTGTTAGAGTTTATTCTTTCCTTAAACTTGTATGATGATGAACGTATTCGGTGCTGTTGGGTTCATCATATATCCTGAATTCCCACATGCTAAAGCTAACTTCCTAGGAAGCAGTTCACAGTTCCTCGGTGTGGTCATTGGTTTCTTTTGTTCATTAGATTACCCTATTATAAAGGTTTAAATTAAAATTGAAAAAATAAATCCTTGCTAAAATTGGTCTTGTCATGTTAAAGTGGACATTTTGGGGTTTCATTTTTTTTCAGAATAATATCTAAGATTTGTGTTGAAGATTACTATTTGGGCAGTCTCGAATCTGTGTCAGCGCACCAAAAACTAGCTTTGCAGGAAGTAATAATGTCAGGTTGGAATTAGCAGTAATTTTGCATTTTTAGCATTTT